CCTTCGGTTAGTGTTTTAAAACTACGACCAACAACCGGCAAAACTGCAACGTCCATATTTGACCTCCAATATTTAACAGGTACAGTAGTTAACCCCATTGTACTATGCGTCACACCCCTAGTCACCATCTCCCATTCATTGGCCCTGTGATAAACTCATGTAAACATTAAAAGGAAACATACATAGAACCATAACAAAAAACAACCATGCAAAGGAAAACCGGCCACAAAGATAACATACATGTCCAAACATGGTGCAATGCACAGAAGCCCTTACTTTCTTACTATTAATTCTGGAAAAGGAGAGAGATATATAACAATGGTGTTTGGTTTTGGGTTGAAAATGAAGAGAGGATGAGTGCAATGTGAAAGGGTATTTTGTATGGTCATTTTTGGATATCTGGGAATGGATAGCAGGATTCTCCTCAAGATATGGTCTATAGTATGTTGACTATAATGACAAACTGAAGAGAATTCCCAAGGATTCTGTCAGGTGGTTCAAGAATTTCTTGGATTCCCAAGAATTCCTTGAATTATGATGACAATATGTGGACCATAATTTCTTTTATCAGGTGATACAGATATTCATATCCAAAATCGTAGGCTTTACATGTAGTTGGCTTTGATATCAAATTAAAGGACGTGCTTTATCTTAACTTAAAGCTCAAGCTGATTGTTAGAGTGCACATTATTAATATATTAAATGTTCAACATTACTAGATATCATCTCTAACAATCATAAGAGATGACACCTCTCTAGTTTGAACTTTCAGCAAGTATATTCAATGCACAAACTAACATGACTCGCAACACTATATTTTAAACCCATGTTAAACTTAAACAAAAGCAATTGATGAAGTTTATACAAAGATTATGTAACCACACAATGTACTTAAAGGAGATTACAGATATCTACCATTACACAGGACTGTTAACTTCATTGATTGATTAGCTAAAACAAAGAAAGAAATTCCCTATTATGACATGGCTTGAGGATCAAGAATTTAGTGGTTTTGGCTGTAAACTGGGAAATAACACAGAGGGCAGGGCCTATCAGACTACCCTCCAACACACGAGAGAACCAAACACACGAGACTGTGGAGTTGAAAAATTAAAGTGGTCGTAACACAGCTCTAAAAAAACATATTGCAATGCAACGTGGTTGGCGTAGCTAAACTAAATAGAAACAGATTACACCAGCTCAGTTCATCTGTTGGGATAAATTCTATAATTTTTCCTCCATTTGGGGCAAGAAGAATTTTGTTAATGGACACCACAAGGGTCGAAATCAACCCCCATATGAATTGTAGGTTGGACAATCGTTATGCTGTGCATCCGTATGCACCATGCATGGTGCATACGGATGCCAAAACGACGTCGTTTTATTAAAAAACGCGCGTCTCTCCTTTAAAAAAAATTCAGGTTCGATTCCCAGCAATAACATTATATTGTTCATTCATTTTGGAATTTTAGTTCATAGATTATGGAATTATAGTTCATTGATTATGGAATTATAGTTCATCGATTATGGAATTGTAGTTCATCGATTCTGAAATTTTAGTTTATAGATTATGGAATTTTAGTTCATTCATTCTGGAATTTTTAGTTCATAGATTAGATTATGGAATTATAGTTAATCGATTATGGAATTTTAGTTCATATGTTGTTGCTGGGAATCGAACCTGATTTTTTTTTTTTTAAGGGGAGACGCGCGTTTTATTAAAACGACGTCGTTTTTGCATCCGTATGCACCATGCATGGTGCATACGGATGCACAACATAATTTGCCTAGGTTGGCAGTCCTACATTCGACAACACCATGATACCCGGTCGGAATGCAAATGAAGCATCAAATGCACACCAAACACACTCCCACAGCCCAACCAACAATACCAATTTCCGCCACCCAAATAAAAAAAAAAACGTGGAATATAATCCAAAAAGGCATGAGAACCGGAACTAACCACGCTGAGTCGACCGGTGCGTCGTCCGACGCCTTGCAGAGACCCTAGAAGCTATCCCGCCCGCAGTACAATCGAACACACCATGAGCCGTCGACGACAGAGTATGGCGGCCAGATCGACGTTTGAACGATCGGGACCCACCGCGACCTTGTGCGAACCAGACGATGGCGGAGTCTTCGACGAGAATGAGCGCCCGGACCTCCCCTCTTCGAACGGCGAGAACCACTGGACCGAGCCATCACCTATCGCTCAAAATCCTTAAATCCGCCGGAGTGCCGAACAAAGTAAGGGCTACACAAGTACACAGTGATAGCGGTCGAAAAAAAAATTAAAAACAATACCACTAATCACCCCCCCCCCCCTCCCACATAGTGATTTTAAGAAATTGCAACACCGCAGTGCACACAACCAACATGCACACTCAAACATAGGATAGGGTTCCAGTGATAACATGTGCTTAGGTGAAAACATGAAAACACAAAATGTGCATCCATCTAATATTTTTTAAGGGTATAGATTATATTAAGTATGTGCGGACGCGCATTAAATGTGTGCAAACACACTTTATCGCGTTTGCACACATTTAATGTGCGTTCGCACACACTTAATCTAATCTAGACCTTTAAAAAATATTAGATGGATGCACACGATTTGTTCTCATATGATCTTAAATATATACATACGTACATACATACACACACACACACACACACACACACACACACACACACACACACACACACACACACACACACATATATATATATATATATATATATATATATATATATATATATATATATATTTATATGATGGAATCGCTCTCTAGCCAACGATCCGCGGAGGATCAAGATCTCCTCGTGCGAAGCACGAAGAAAACGAAACGAACGTCTGATGATTTATGGGTATCGGGGATGCGGAATGATGCTGAGATCGTTGCCGAAACACCGGTCGACGAGATGGTGGAGGCGGAGGCAACGAAACCAGTGCATGGATCTCATGCTGATGACGGAAGGGGCTTGGTAGCGCCAGTGGTGACTGTCTCTGTGCAGAATCAACCTCGCCGCTCCTACGCCGCGTGCCTCTCTGGATACGTGAGCCCGCCCCATGAGCACTCCGACGAGAGTGACGAGGAGAGTTCCGGGGAGCTCTCAGACGATGAAGACGAGGACCCGCTGTGTCCAACGATTCGGTTGACGAAAGCCGAGGTGGAAGCAATCAGTGCCCCGTGGCGGAAGTCGCTCATCATAAAAGTCCTGGGCAGACGCGTCGGCTACGCATTCCTACTGCAACGTCTCATCTCCATGTGGAAACCTAAGGGTAGCATCGATCTCATCGCGATCGATAACGACTACTACCTTGTGAGATTCGGATCTGTGGACGATTTGGAGTTTTCCATGTTCGAAGGGCCCTGGATGATAGCCGATCACTACCTTATCGTCAAGCCATGGGTGCTTGACTTCGATCCGTTTTCAGATCATACCGAAAAGGTTCTCGTGTGGGTCCGTATTCCATGCCTGCCCGCAGAATACTACAACATCATATTCCTCAGGAAGCTTGGTAATAAGGTTGGAAGGACGATCCGCGTCGATCAGGCAACTAGTCTGGTTTCACGTGGTAAGTTTGCCCGGATATGCGTTGAAGTGGACATAACCAAGCCGCACATCTCAAAGTTCAACTACAACGGGAAGAAACGGCATGTCGCCTATGAGGGAATCCATTTAGTGTGTTTCACCTGTGGGGTGTATGGTCATGCACCGGATAAATGCCCCAAGAATCCTAAACCTGCGGATGATGGTGAAGTCGCTCCTGAGGAGGAACCGCGCAGACAGGTCGATACTGAAGGGCTAGCAGCAGCCGGAAACCGGCCAGTCATCGTTGGCGATGCCCCTTTTGGGGAGTGGATACTAGCACCGAAACAGAGGGGGAGAAGACCAACTGTGATTCAAGCCGATCGAAATCCAAAAAAACAAGGCGACTGGGGAGAGGCAGTGACTTCTGCTACCGGAAACAAAGACCGAAATTCCAGATTCGCTCCTTTGGCCCCGGTAACGGAGGTGACGGATGAGGATGAAGAGGTCGCCCCACCAACCGCAATGGAGCTACAGGGAGGATCTAAATCGCGCATGCTAACAGAAAGAGGGTCTAGTTAGAGGAGGCCTAACGTGATCGCATCGCAGCGCCAGATAGAGAATGAGCCGGCGGCCATTGTCGAGGGAACAACGGAGATCGTACAAAAGGCCCCAAAGGCGCGCATGGCGAACACCACGAGGCCACGATGAGCGGCGGAGGAAGACGAACATGTGGTGGTGCGGGGTGAACAAGGGGGATTGCGTATTAGCTCAACAAGGGTGTTCGTGGGAGATGCCGCAGGCGAGTTACCTTCGCCGGTCTGGTAGATTTCCACTGAGCACCATTCCGACCCACTGGAGCAACGAGATGATGAAGGTGATGTGGTGATGGAACTGGACAAAATCCCTAAGCACGGTGCGGGGGCGGCGGTCACGACGAGCCAATGATTGGCTGTGTTTTGTTTGTTCTCTGTTTTTGGCTTTTTGTCTTCTTTGTTGGTGCCCCGTTTCTTATTTATTTTGTTTTTATGGATTGTATTTTATGGAATTGTCAAGGTGCGGGTGGTAAACGGTTCCACCGCACACTTAAACACCTTCTTAGAACCTATAGACCTTCTATATTAGGCTTGTTTGAGCCAAAGGTCTCTGGTTTGTAGGCAAACTCTATTTGCTCTTCTCTGGGCTTCTCGGACTGGGTCCGAGTCGAAGCTGTTGGTTTTATTGGAGGTATTTGGGTCTTCTGGAAGGACCCGATATCTATCTCCGTTCTGTATACCCACCCACAATTTGTTCTTTTGCAGCTGTCTTAGAATGACCAGGCTCCATGGTTTTTCTCACCTGTTTATGCCAGCCCCACCCACCATCTTCGGCGCCGCCTTTGGCATGACCTCACCCAATCAAGTAGAGGGATCACGGGGCCTTGGATGGTAGCGGGGGATTTCAACTCAGTGTGAAACCGCGAGGAGATGAGCAACTACAACTCGTTGTCAACCCAAAGGAGCGCAGACTTTGCACTTTGGATCCAGAATGAAGGATTGATCGACCTCGGTTTCTCTGGCTCCAAGTTGACTTGGGTCAAGGAAGGCTCGGTGAATCCTTTAAAAGGAACACGGCTTGACCGGGCCCTGTGCAACGTTGATTGGAAACTACGGTTTCCAGACGTGACTGTTACTCACTTACCGCGCATCTCCTCAGATCATGCTCCAATCCTCCTCCAGAATAAGGGGGGGCGCAAAAGATCTAATATCTCTCCTTTTATTTTTCAGGCAGCTTGGCTCACTCACCCGGATTTCAGGACGGTGGTCAGGCATCTTTGGAGAGAGGACCAAAGTCTCGAGACTAACACAAACAATTTGGCCGAAGGACTAAAATCGTGGAACAAGACGGTCTTTGGCAATATTCACACCCAAAAGCGGATTCTCATGTTTAGGCTAGCTGGGGTGCAAAGGTGCATGGCCAATGGCTTCCATGGAGGACTGGGGAAGCTTGAAAAGAAGCTATAAATTGAGATGGAGGACATTTTACACCAAGAAGAGTTGCACTGGTTTCAGCGCTCCCGGGAACATTGGATAGTGTCGGGAGATAGAAATACAGCGTACTACCATGCAGCCACGAAGATTAAACAGGCTCGCAGCTTGATATCTGGTTTGCGCAATGATAATGGCGAGTGGCTTACAAAGGAAAATGGGCTTTGTGAGCATGTGAAACAGTACTACATCAACCTTTTCTCGGAGGATTCTGAGAGGCCGGTGGGGGGTCATATGGAGGCGGCTTTCCTGCGCTTACGCAACCGAAAGTGGGATATCTTCAACAGGACCCTTACCAAAGACGAGGTACATAATGCCCTCAAGGACATGCAGCCTTTCAATGCGCCCAGACCTGATGGCCTTCACGCAGGTTTCTATCAACATCTGTGGGACGAAACTGGGGATAAGCTGTTCGAAATGGTTAGGGAGGCTATGAATACGGGTCACCTTCCAAATGGCATAAATGATACCCTGTTTGCCCTTATCCCGAAGGTCAACACCCCAGAAACAGTGAAACAATTCCGGCCCATAAGCTATGCAACGTCAGCTACAAACTGATAACTAAGACGATCACCAACAGATTAAAAGGTGTCCTACCCAAATTGGTGGGACCGTACCAGAACTCCTTTGTGCCAGGCAGACAGATTTCGGATAACGTCATCATCTACCAAGAAGTCATGCCCATGCGCGAGAAACAGGGGAAAAAGGGTTTTATGGCTATTAAACTGGACCTTGAAAAAGCCTATGATCGATTGTCATGGGACTTCATCCAGGATACCTTAGACACAGCTGGTTTTAATACAGGATGGAGGGCCATTATCATGGAATGCATCAGTACACCTAGGTTGTCCATCATTTGGAACGGGGAACGTCTGGAGCCGTTTACGCCAGAGAGGGGCATCCGCCAGGGCGATGCAATGTCCCTGGAAATTTTTGTCCTTTGCATGGAACGCCTGAGTCAGCTGATTGCAAAAGAAGTTGACAGTGGCGCATGGAAGGGCGTTCGGCTAGCAGTTGACGGACCCACGATTTCCCACCTTTGTTTTGCGGACGATATCATCCTCTTTACTGAGGCGACGATTGAGCAAGTTGAGGTTGTCCACGAGTGTCTGAAGAGATTGTGCATCGCGTCGGTTCAGAAGTTGAGCCTGGGCAAATCCCAAGTGTTCTTCTCCAAAAACACGCAGTCGGACCTCGCAGATTCGATTGCAAGCCGACTCGGCGTCAGCAAAACCAATGACCTCGGAAGGTATCTTGGTGTACCTACTTTCCACGGGCGGGTGACCTGCAACACCTTCTCCAGCCTCCTTGAAAGAGTGTCTGCGAGACTGGAAGGTTGGAAGTCGAGGACCCTGTCCTTAGCTGGGCGCGTTGTGCTTGCCAAATCAGTTCTTAACGCCATCCTCGTCTACACTATGCAGACCACAGCGCTACCGAAAGGCGTTTGTGCCGAAATTGAGAAACGAACCAGAAGCTTCATCTGGGGAAATAAAGGGTCCACGGAAGGAAACAAGATGCACCTTGCCAACTGGGATCTAGTAACGAGTAAAAAAAATGGGGGCTTGAGAATTCGGCGCCTTCACGAGATGAATACTGCTTGTATGATGAAGCTGGGCTGGAGACTCAAAACGGATTTCAAACACTTGTGGGCCCAGACCATTTTGACAAAATACGACAACCTGAATGCGGCAAACAGCAGGAGAAGTACGTCTAATGTGTGGCGGGGCATCTGCGCGGCGAAAGAACACCTGGAAAAGGGAATCACGCACATTGTGCATAATGGAGCAACCACAAAGTTTTGGATGGACACTTGGCTCACCCCGAGGCCCCTTTATGAGCAACTACTGGTTCCCCTAAGCCTTCCTGACCTTTATGCTCCTGTAGCGGATTATTGGATTCAGGATCACGGGTGGGACTGGGGAAAGTTGGAGCACACCATGCCGCTTGAAACTCAGCAAAGACTCGCGGGTTTTATGCTCTCGGAGACGAACAGAAGTGATGGTCTAGGTTGGGGCTTCGCCAAGGAGAGGTCTTTCTCGGTCAGCTCGGCGTATGGAATGCTCACACATGAAGAGGGACGCGGTGCGAATGAGGACTGGACTGTAATCTGGAAGCTCAGGCTGCCCACGAAAATCTGCATGTTTTTATAGCTTGTCAAGCATGGAAAACTTTTGACGAATTATGAGAGAACTAGGCGGCAGATCACGTCTAATGAATTTTGTTTTCGTTGTGCAGGACAGCGGGAGGATCTTGATCATTTGTTTCGAACCTGCCCGGCAGCGCAATTCATATGGAAAGAGGATCTTCACCGCCAAACATGGAGAGCGACACGCGGCTTGTGCTGGAATGATTGGCTGACGATGAATATTCGCGGGGACGCACGACAAAGTTTCGATGAAGGGTGGCCAGAGCGTTTTGGAATAAGGCTATGGTGGCTTTGGAGGTGGAGAAACGATGAGGTTTTTAACAACATCTCAAAGTTGATGGATCAAAAGCTTGATTGGTTGCGATGCTACGATGCGGAGGTTGCAGGGGCTTTTGCGAATCGTTGGAGACCGAAGGTGCAGCAAGGCTCGAACGCTGAAACCAGGATGGCATGGACGAAACCAGCCCGGGGCTACCTCAAGCTGAATGTTGATGGCTCGGGCAAAGGAGGGGAGCTGGCGGGGTGTGGCGGAATCTTACGCGATAGTGAAGGAAGATGGTGCAAGGGCTTCACGTACAATATTGGGAGATGTTCAGTTGATGAAGCGGAGGCATGGCAGTATTTCAAGGCCTCCGCATGGCTCTGAACTGTGGTGCGTCTAGACTCATTGTCGAGTGTGACTCCAAAGCCGTTGTTGAAAATCTTAACGCAGCCTCAAGTGGACGCATGCAGAACTGCAATATCGTGAGTAGGTGTGTGAATATAGCGCGGAGTTTCATGGAAGTTTCGTACAACCATGTCTACTGGGAACAGAACAAAGTTGCGAACAAGCTAGCAATTGACACCGTTTCGCACTGCGGGTTTCAAATCTTGGAGTCCCCACCGTTAGCTATCTCGGAGATGATCCAGTTGGACAGATTAGGAGCCTTTTCGTTTCGAAGAACTCCTCTTGCGGCCTGATGGCTTGCGTGTGTCTTTTTTTTGTTGTTGGGTATCCCCCTCTTATCTGATTAATATATATATATATATATATATATATATATATATATATATATATATATATATATATATATATTTCTTTTAATATTTCTGTGTAAGAATTTTGGGAGTGTTACAGGGTGCGGTTTCTTTTCGTTAAAAGAAACGACGCCATTTTGAACCGTGGTCCTAAATCAAATTTGTCGATCTTTGGCGAGCTATCGTAGGCTCCCAAACTAGAACCTTAGAAACGTAGTAGCAGGAACTAGTTTAATGTATGTGCTCAAATTAAAGGAAATGGGGGTGTGGTATGAAAGGATAATCAAAGTAAATAAACGAATACAGCAATGAAAATAATATATTGAAAGCACTTATAATAGAAAACCTTGGTTAGTAAAGATCCACCACCAGAATTTAACACTGATCATTTATTCAAAAAGTAATTAATATGCAATTGAATATTAGTCGTGAAATTATTTCATTTCCGTTTTGCCTTAGTTGTAGGTAACTAAAGCACACGCGGTTTAATTACCCCTAACTACTAAATAATCTAAGATAAGCGCTATAGATTTAATTAATAGCAGCAATAGAAACTAGGAAAACCGACAAACTAAATAACACAAGCACAAGCGATTGCATTTAATTTAGGAAAATATTCTACCTAAGACCAATTATCACTAAGCCGTCAATAATTAACCTCAGTTGCTACTGAATATTAGAATAATTTGTAGCACAACATTATCTAATATAGCAAATAATTATATCAAATAAATTCGAAGAATATTTAATACCCAAATGCATAAAAATTATATAATAATAATAAATAAATAATCTTACAGCATAATTAATTCTGGGGCTTCAATTCACTAAACCAAGCTAAAGAAATTAGTCACGAATGGACATTGATAAGAACTTTAAAGAATAATCTAAGGGGAAAGAATGAACAATGGACAAAAGAACTTGGCCCTATTTATACACTCTCAAAATATATTAAAGCTATTTTCCACCGTTTATTTTCCTTCTTTTGCACTTAAGTCGACGCTGCTCCGGTCATTTTTCTCCGTAAATGTTTGCGCTGAAGTTGACGCTTTGCGCTGCTACACAGTTTGTCCTGTACGAAGAAAATAAGCAAAGCAAAATGTTAATATTAAAAGTCCATCATATTTTGTTTCTTTTGTCTTGGACCAACATATAATATTAAATATTATTTGTAGATTTATAAAATATATATATATATATATATATATATATATATATATATATATATATATATTTATAGGATAGTACGTAATATTTATATACTAGTATGCATTCTATATATTATATATATTATATATGTATTTGGTACTATATTTAGTTCATTACTTGTTAAACTCTAAAAAGAACTAATTATTAAATAATATTAAATAATTAATACAAAATTATTATAAAGATGCACCTAAAATATGAGTGTAAAATATGCATATCAAATTCCCCCACACTAAAACATTTGCTTGTCCCCAAGCAAAAATATTATTTGCGAAATAAATTGAAAAGAAATTCCCAAAACTCATAACATATCATGAACAACAATCTGAAGCACCCTGCAATTAATAAGGTAGCACCCCTATCTGAAAATTGAGAGAACTAAATAAGTAAGCCCTCGCAGGAATATCACTCATCACTCAAGTGTTTGATGGATATAAATTTGACTCAAGTTCATTCCTATAAAATTGCTCTACCATAGGCTTGAATATCTTCTCATTCACCACTACAAGAGTCATGCATGACACAAATCATAAGGACTTTTCACAGGTTGTAATGGGGCTAGGGTTAAGGTAGGGAATTTTTTTAGGAAAGTAACTTAAGCAAA